AAAAAAAAAAAAAAAGCTGCAGTCAATACTAATCCAGGGGTGTCAAACTCGCTTACAAATGGGAGCCAAAATCAAAACCTTTTTCAAACTATGGGCCAATTTCCCAAACTACATTAATTCAAATCAGATACCCGACATCTTTTCTTGGTCACAGGTTCCTCAACAAGAGTTTGATTCGTCTCATTTGATGTGCTCTGTTGTGCTTTTGACATCATAATCAAAGATTACTGAAAAAAATTCAAGCAATAAAAGTATTTTACGTTTCACACGTTTCTTAAGGACCAGATAAGACCTCAACGAGGGCCACGTTTGGCCCCTGGGCCTCGAGTTTGACACATGAATTAGACCTTCACCATACGTGACTGACTAAACAATGAACAGGGAAAGACGTTTCTTTGTTTAATTTATATTTATGTAACACACACTTGATAACTTTATGGTGAATAGTGGAGGAAAGAAAATGTGAATGCAGGTTAAGGAAAGACTGTTTTTATGACCAGTGCACCTCTTGTAGACATACTGTGGGACTACGTATGGTGTGGATCTGATTTGCTTAGCATCATGGTAGCTAACAGCTGCGCTAAATAAACAACCCCTGCTCCACTCACTGTTTTAACACATTCTTGGGGGTGTACAAAGCTGAAAACTTTCCAGCCGTTATATTGGTCATCAGAATTCTCCTTGCCCCTACCAATATTGGAATCAGTGATAACCAAAATTTCCATTTCGGTCGGGCTCTAATCTGAACATTTCATTAATTAAAGATTTGAGGAGTAAGATAAACAGGAACAAGTCTGAAAGGTAAACACGCTTTAATCAAAACACTAAAACAAACCAAAATCACAAGGAAATTAATGAAAATTATTCAGCATTTAAACAGCTGTTCTGATGATGCACTACCAGTATTTCCCCTAGATCAGTTCCCTTGGCAGGCGCTCGTCGCATTTTATTTTTTGTTGACGTGTGGGGTGTACATCAGTAGCACGTTTGTATTGCGTCCTGCGCTACATCAATACTGACAGTAGTCGACCTCTCAGTTCTGTTGACGTGGTGGGGTGCCCCGCTTGTATAATGGCAGGGGAAGCACTGCACTACTGTTATTTCTGTATTCCTGCCTGCTGCAGTTCCACATATATATATTTTTTTTTTTTAATTATTTACAAGCGTTAACAATGGCACAAAACTCCATCTTACTGTAACTTTAAAGAGGAAGTTTTACCATTTTCAAAAATTTTATAGGAACAATAGAAGTACGTATTATGACAACGTATTTAAAATGGCATTTAGCTGCAGAGCTGCATCACACAACAAACTGACTGCATCTCATCTGAAAAGTCATTTTTAAACAACAGAAGAAAATTTATGGTTAATTGCGTAAAATGCAACAGAACCAACACTGCAACACAGCACTTAAGAGCATTTGCAATTTTCATGCAACTTTATGAAAATTTGAATACAGTATTGAATACAAAACTACATTTCTTCTAACAGATTTTGTTATACGTTGCAAAACAGAACGATATCTTCCTTAACTCAAATCTTTCACACTCTCTCCTCTTTACGCACTAAATCAAGAGCTCACACTGACCTGATGGGCTCGACAAATCAGGTCCATGTCGTGTTTGTGGAGAAACTTGGTGACGACGTCCGCGCCGAAGGTGAAGGAGACGCCGCGGTCGTTCTCCCCCCAGCCCAGCACATCCTTATCAGGGTCGGCCCACAACAGGTCACACAGGAGGCCCTGATCAGGCACATCAGTGGGGCGCATAACCCGTCTCACCTGCTCCATGGACTGGAGGTCCGGGGACAGGCCTGAAGAAGATAAGCACAGATTTTAATATAATTTATATAAAAACATAAATACTTCACATTTGTTATATTTCAGTGTGGATGATCTGAGGTCTAGAACCAGTTTAATTTTCCCATTTGCGATGCTGGAAAACAGAAATCAAGCTGAAACTTAAAAAATAAATAAAAAAATTCAAATTTACTAATTCTTCTAATTTATCTCAAATCCAAGGGATTAGTCATCACTGAATTATATTTCTCTGTTTAAATTTGATGAAGACTAAGATTTTACTGACTATCTGTGATTAAGATATAACACATTTTGATGTTGACCGTCCCGACAACATCAAAATGTGTGTGGAAAAGGTGAAACACCCACACCTGCCTCCACCCGCATTCGCCCCACCCTGGGCCCCTGAGCAAGGCCCTCAACCCCCACCATCTGCTCCCTAACAGGTCTCTCCTGAAAATGAGACTAACTGTATAAATAAAGGGTAAATGAAAATGAAAAACGCTGCTGTTAAAAAGTGCCTTTTTTAATGTATTTAACATTTTTATACAAAACAGTACCTTAAAAATGTCGGAAACATCTTTAAGTGATCATTTAATTTTGCACACACTAATGAGATTATTCACGATTAATTGCAAAAAATATTTGATTAATCGCAATAAAAATTGTAATCTTTGCCCAGCACTAGTTTAAACAAATACCTTTCTAACAGTAAATGCACTTTGCCTTATATAACTTAAATTTTAAAGTTAAAGATGGAATTTACCCTCCAGATTATAGGTTTCTGTTTACATATTTTGAGTCGAAGCGCTCACGAACACAAGATAACAGTGACTCACAGACGCTGCCTTTCTCTGAACTCTGTCCGTGTTTAGACGCGAGTGCCAATTTCTGTATCGCAGCAAAATGAGTTCAAAGACTCGAAATCAAACACTGGGTGAAACCTAGCTGCCCATTGGGCTATAAAAATCAGAGTCCTACACATAGCAGTCAAATTTAGATCCAGTTTGTTATAGCTGTACCTGTATCTGCTGATACAAGGACAAGTGACAATAAATAGAGTCAATAATCCAGTCCTTTTACCATGATGTTGACAGAAATAACAGAACAGGGTTCGAACGAGTGCTCAAGATGGAACTACATTTGTTCAGTGTACCTCCATGGCAACAGAAGATTTTCTCATCAACAATGGCTGCCACAGGCAAACAGTTGAAGCAGTCGGTGAAGGTCTTCCACAGCTTTATGTTGTATCGCCTCTTACCTGAGGGAGGAAACCACAGTTACTGGGTCACAATCTTATCTTGGGACTTATAAAACCAGCTGCACCCAGTGTACCAGATTAGAAACATCTTTTACATAATCCTGGCTCGGTGAAACAGAGAGGCATGTGATTATTCACTGCTAACACAGCCTGATCACACTCCTTCACCATTAGTCTGGAGGACTGAGGGACGCTCAACGTGTCTCTGATGGCTCTGCTAAGCCAACTTCAATGTCACGTTTACAAGAACTCTGGCTCGTTAGAATCAACTTCAAGAAAAGGAACTTGCTGCCAGTGCAACTCAAACACATACAATAAACACAAGTGACTGTGAGAAAACTATTGGTGTGATTGCTGTATTACTTACACTCATCATAGAAGCCATATATTCTGTTAATAGATGCACACTCATGGTTTCCTCTCAGCAGAAAGAAGTTTTCTGGGTATTTGATCTTGTAAGCCAGCAACAGGCAGATGGTCTCCAGAGATTGCTTGCCTCTGTCTACATAATCGCCCAGGAACAGGTAGTTGCTCTCCGGAGGAAAGCCTCCGTATTCAAACAGCCTCAGAAGATCATAGTACTGCCCGTGGACGTCCCCTGGAGAGAGGAGAAGAGTTAGGCTTTGTTTATGGATTTCATCGGATTGTTTGGCCTCCCATCCATTATCTCTACCCGCTTCTTGTGTTTGAGATAACAACAGTCCATGTTGGAAGAGTGTTTTCTGTTCAGTTGTGCAGTTATATTTTAGCTGGCTGTGATGTTTGTGCAGCTGCTTTGAACAACAGTGACTAAAAACCCAAGGATTTTTTTGGATGCAGATGTGGATTCATGAGTATGTTTGGATTTAATATACGTTAAATATTAACATTCGTTGAAGAAAGGCACGTCACCTACTCTATTAGTAGCTGCAGTAGATTTAGTTTAATGCCATGTCAGCAACAATACTTATATCATCTACAGTCCTGACATAAAGATGTTTCTCCACCTTTGAAAACCCTCGTAAGCCTGAAACGACCGATATGTCATTTTATAAAAAATACTTGATCCTGTGCATTTTGTGCCTCTGTGTTAAAGAAATAAAACAGTTTCTTCAAAGTTTTTGATTGTTTTTTTTTTCTTTCATGAAATAGCCACTAAAATGCACATCAAGTTGTGAGCCTTTTGTGTGATCTTTTAGCACTTCAAGTATTTGTTGATGACCGTCATCTTCTATCACATCAAAATTTTATCTAAATATCGGTAAATCTGATCATTATAGACATTTTTGTGTTTGCAAAGATTGATTAGCTGTGGCTGTCATCTTAAATAGGGTCAATTCCAAATATTAAATCAGTTGTAGTTGTATGTCCAATGATTATATTCAGAGTTTTTCCCATACATTTCATTCAGTGGTTCATGAGATATTTTGCTAACACAGAAACACCAGCTATCTATTGCCCACCACCAGAAAAAAAACAACTAACAAACACTGTTACTGGAATTTTTAGCCATGGTAAAAGGAGTGTATGGTATGCAGAAGCACTGAACCGATTGAGTTTTTTCATGCAGATTATCAAAGATAACAGTATATCTGAGTAAAATAGTTTTATGTATTAAAATATGAGGAAGTCTAAAAGATTACACATTTTTTCTGAATGCCACAGTAGATTAATATGTAGGGTGTGAGGCTACAGCAGAAACATTGGTCAAAAAGTGGTGTTATGCTGCAGATTTGTACAATCAAAGGTGAGGAACTTGGGTAGAGGAACAACAACTACTATCCAGCTAGTAAACACTACCTCATTTCAAGAACAACCAACTGTTCTGTAGAATCAGCACCTGATACCTCCACGTAACTTGAACCAAGAGGGTTATCTTAATGTGTGAGCTTGTATTTAGTGTGAAGATGACTGTGATTATTTACTCTACTGAATTTAAATCTATTTTTTGTAACATGCAAATTTTTTTTCTGTCTTTCAGATTTTTGACAGGCTAAGGTCACAGACATGAGCCGTGTTTGTCCTGTAACAACATAAATATTACTCATCCAGATTGTCTAGTTTTATGAATAAATTTTAATTAAATATTAGAAAAAATGATATGTTGGAAAGCTGATATGAGGTTTTCCATGGTATTATTTAACCTACAACAACTGTGAGCATAACGCTGTGTGAAAATGTCCAAAGAAAACAACTAAGCCTCACCACAAATCTTCAGGGGGGCCTCAAGTTCGAGCAGGATCGGCTGGCTGAGGAAGATCTCCCGGGATTTGAGGCAAAGTCCACGGATTTCATTCTCTGTCAGCTGAACGTTCTTACCAGGTCTGGAGCCTTTCACTTTGGAGAAACAGACAAAAAAAAGGTCAATCATCAAAGAGGAGAAACAGGAGATTTTGTTATTCATATTCAAATTTGAACCATCCTATTCAGTTGCAACTGTGTTTTTATTCACGTGTTGTGCAAAACAGGGTTGCAAACAGTGCATATTGTATACACTACTCAGTGACACGTGCAAAATCATAAATAAAATGTTTAAATAAAAGCTCACACTTTTTTTAAAAACTTGGTTTGACGTTTATAGTAGATGGACATAATGATGTAAAAATAATATTTTCGGAAAAATGGCAAATTTTATGACCTATTTGATCAACTGGACGGGCACACATTTGGGGGTTTCTATGAAACTTAGACTTGAGAGAAATTTCATAAGTAGATGCAAAAAAATGAAGGAAGAAAATATTGTTTTTAAAACATTTTTCATACAGCAAATCTACTGATGTGCACTGTTCCGGTCTTTTACATAACGATTCAAACTTTAGCAGAGAATATCCTCGTAAATAGTAGTAAGTATTTATTTCATGCACTAAATCAAACCAATGTATACTGTGCAACACAGCTCAAATCGTGTGTTTAATTTTTAAAAACGCCAAAAATGATCAACTTGGTAGCCTTTCATTGGCGGCTTCCTCCTTCTTGTGTTAGCTAAAATGGCACCTCCGTCAAATACCGAGTCTTACCTTCCAGCAGACGCTGTATAATGGAATCGATGTTCAACTTATCGGCTTCCGCCATGTTATTTCCCTTATCCTGGTCGTTTTTATCTTACTTCAGCGAATTCAAGACGTAGTAATGAATGTAAAGTGTCCGCCGAGTTCGAGTTGGCTCAAGTTGTTTAGCGTTAATCGGCTATCGTTAGCCCGCTAGCTGGCTAACCTTGGAGAATAAATGAAAACCTGAAGGCGGAATTGTTGAAGTATGATGGCTGACATGTGCTTGCAGAAATTTAAGTTAGTAAACGACTTTAAAGAAGATGGCCGATTACAGTTTTTTAAGTGCTAATAATTTCTACTGCAGCTACTAGCAGCATGCCATCGACAAAAAAAGGTTAGAAGAGCGTTAGCCGAAAGCGAGGCTGAGCGGAAGTTGTCCGACTGTTTTTGCGCAGCCATTGGTTAGCATTTCTAAGTAGGCGGTGCTTGTGGTCACCACTCTGTTCTCGGATTGGCTGAGTTCGATGTACGTCAGCGTTTACTAATCTCAAAACCGCAACGTTAAAAGAGCGAATATTCTCAAAATATAACAAGTTTTGATAGCTGAAAAGTTTATATATTTAATAATAAACGTTAACTATCTTTATCTACCCATATATATTTATTTAAGATCTGTAATTGCTGCGCAGTAGCGACACCCGCGAAAGTGACAAAGACGGAAAGGATTGACGTATTTTGGCATGACGCAATGGGTCAACAACCATTTTCATACACCGGCAAATTTAGCAAGGCAACCAGCAGGCGGAGCTTGATGCTATTTCAAACTGCTATTGCGAGTAGAACGAAAATTCCTTTCACGTCGCTCTTCGTCATTTCTAGCCGAATTACGAGCCGGCAAACCAGAAAGAGGCAGACCCTCTCTCGGTTGGCAAGGGTGGAGCGCGAAATTCAAACTTGGACGGACAAACTTTTGACGGAAAATTGTGGATTTTGGAGTGGACGGTTGGCATAAGCTGGAATGTGACTGGGTCAGAATGGCAAACCAGGTAGGAGATAACGAGGAGGACATGATGTTAGAGGATTGGACGCAAGTAAGAAGAGGAAAAGGACAAGGTCGAGGAAGCGGCGGAGATGCGAAGGAAGGTGGGAGGGTGTTAGATAGTCAAGGAAATAAAAGAGAATTAGAGGAAAATAGTTCAGACGAAGAAAGAACAATTCGTAGGAAGGTCGTGAGGGAGGAATTTAAAATAATTCTCAAGTTTAAGAGGGAGGAAAATCAGGTATACTTAAGCCCAATTATAATATCTAAAGAAATAAAAAAGAAAATAGGAGAGGTAGAAATGGTGAAGGTGTTGAGGGATGGAAACTTACTGATAATCTGCAAAACTGAAGAACAGAAAAACAAAGCATTACAAGTTGATAATATCTGCAAAAAGGTGGTGATTGAGAAACACAATGTTGGAGAAAATAAAGTACTGAAGGGAGTGATTACAGGAATACCAGTGGAGGAGGATTTGGATAAATTAAAACGAAGCATTGTCGGAGTAAAGGTGAACAGTTTAAAGAGATTAATGAGAACAGTTGATGGAGAAAGAGTGGGAAGCATGTCTATTTTAATAGAGTTCTCCGAAACAATAATGCCAAATAAAATAAAAATAGGATTTATGAGTTTCCCGGTCAGGCCTTTTATCCCCCCACCACTCAGATGCTACAAATGTCAGAGGTATGGACACATGGCAGCGGTGTGTAAAGGCAAGCAGAGGTGTCCTAAATGTGGAGAGGAGCACAGGATAGAAGAATGCAGAGAGGACAAACAAGAAAAGTGCTGTAACTGTGGGGGTCAACATAGAGCTAACTCTGGAAAATGTGAGGTGAGAAAGAGAGCGGTAGAAATACAACAAATCAAAATGACTAAAAATATTAGCTACACTGAAGCAGTCAGGAGTGTTCAGGGACAAAAGAAAGGAGAAGCAGACCAGTCAGAGAATCAAGTTCCACAACAAACCAAACTGCAAACAGAGGAAAACATCACACTGTCAGTAGAAAAACTCATTTTATTCATAGCATATGTCATCAACTGCACAGATCAGGCTAAGCACAGAACAGAGAAGATTAAAATAATAGCAAGGGGGGCAGAAAAGTTTCTGGGAGTCAAAGAGGCGTCTTGGGAAAACATAAACAAAGGGCTGGAAATAGATGGGAGACCGGTAACACTGGGCGATAAACCCAGATGTTAATACTACAATGGAATGCCAGAAGTCTTATTGCAAATGGACAAGAATTTAAGGGATATATTGAAAAATTAGAAGAAAAACCAGAAATAATATGTATACAGGAAACATGGTTAAAAGCAACATTAGAATTTGTAATTAAAGGGTATGAGAGCATCAGAAGGGATCGGCAAGAGGGAAATGGAGGAGGGTGTGCAATATTTATAAAACAAGGAACACAATATCAAATATTAAGAAAAGGAGTAGATTTAGAATATATAGTGGTGGAAATATGGGACAAAGATGGAAAATATAAAATAATAAATTTCTATAATCCTTGTAAAAATATAACAATTGAATCAATGGAAGAAATAATGGGATATTTAGAAGGAAAGGTAATCTGGTGTGGGGATTTCAATGCTCATAGTACACTCTGGGGTAAAAGTAATGATAAAAATGGTCAAGAAATTGAAGAATTGATGGAATTAAAAAACCTAGTGTGTCTTAATGATGGAAGAGGAACCAGAATCAACGTTAGAACAGGAGAAGAATCAGCAATTGATTTAACACTAGTATCAAACTCACTGGCTGTCAGTTGTGAATGGGATATTGATAAGAATACAACAAATGGAAGCGATCATTACCCAATTAAGATTAAAATACAAATAAAACCAGAAAGCAGCAAAGTAGAGGGGAATAAAAAATGTAATTTCAGCAAAGCAGAATGGAATAAATTTAAGTATATCAGTGAACAAGAATTACAAAAAATTGACATGACAGCAGATGTAAATAATATAAATTCAAATATTTGTAGGGTTATTCTAGAGGCAATAGAACATTCAGTGAAGAAAGGAGGAGGAAGGAAAGAAAGAAAAATAGTACCGTGGTGGACAAACGAATGTAATAATGCAATCAAGTCAAGAAATAAAGCCTTTAAAATACTTAAAAAGAATCCTATTTATCAACATTTAATAGATTATAAAAGAGAACAAGCGATGGTAAGGAGGATAATAAAGGAGGCAAAAAGAAACTACTGGAGAAAATTCTGTGACACTATAGGGAAAGAGACTAAACTTGATAAAATCTGGAAAGTGATTAAAAGAATGAATGGCATCAGGAAAGAATATGTATACCCAGTATTGAACACAGATAAAGGAGCGATGATTAAAGATAAAGATAAAGCTGAAATGTTAGCTGAAACCTTTAGAAAGACTCATAGTTCAAATAACATCAGTGAGGAGGAAAAGAAAGGGAGGGAAGCCACAAAACTAAAGTATAAATATTTACAACAGAGTAGTGAAGTAAATGATAATTTATTGAACGCACCATTTAAAAAAGATGAACTAAACAGAGCTCTGAGAAAAACCAAGACAACAGCACCAGGAAAAGATCAGATCTGGTATTTAATGATAGATCATCTCAGTGAACCATCCAAAGAAATCATTTTAGAGCTGTACAATAAAGTTTGGGAGGAGGGGGAACTGCCTCAGAGCTGGAAGGAGTCAGTCATCATACCCATAGCAAAACCAGGAAAAGACAACACTAAACCGGAAAATTACAGACCAATCGCGCTAACATCAAACATATGTAAGATAATGGAAAAAATGATTAATGAGAGATTAACATATTATTTAAATAGTAATGGATATATATCTAAATATCAAAGTGGGTTTCGAAAAGGGCGTAATACATATGATTCAGCTTTACGGTTAGAACATGAAATCAGAAAAGCGCAGATAAATAAAGATAGTGTGGTGGCGGTGTTCTTTGATATTGAAAAAGCATATGATATGTTGTGGGTTGAAGGGTTGTTAATTAAAATAAAGAAATTAGGTATTACAGGGAAAATGTTTAAATGGATCAAAAACTTTTTATCAAAAAGAACAATACAAGTTAGAATAGGAGAAGAATATTCTGAGAAATATGGTGTAGAAAATGGAACACCACAAGGCAGCATCATAAGTCCCTTATTGTTTTCTTTAATGATAAATGATGTTTTTGCAGAAATAGAGGAGGGAATGGGCTGTTCACTCTTTGCAGACGACGGGGCAATTTGGAAAAAAGGAAGAAATATAGAAGTCACAGTAGAAAAAATACAGAAGGCTATTAATGAAATAGAAAGATGGGCAATAAAGTGGGGGTTTAAATTTTCAGTGACAAAAACAAAGGCAATGATATTTACACGGAAAAGAATTACAGAAGTCAAAAAACTAAAACTATACAATCAAGAAATAGAACAAGTTAAGAGTATAAAGTTTTTGGGAATGTGGTTTGATGAAAAAGTAATATGGAATATTCACATTCAGAAAATTATTGATAAATGTAAAAGGGTCTTAAATATTATGAGATGTTTGGCGGGAAATGAATGGGGAGCAGACAGAACAGCATTAAAGAGAATATACACCGGGCTGATCAGGTCAACTATAGATTATGGAAGTGTAATCTATAGATCTGCAGCAAAAACACATCTGGAGAAACTTGACAATATACAACATCAAGCACTAAGAATTTGTACAGGAGCATTCAGGACCACCCCAACCGCAGCACTTAAAGTAGAGATGGGAGAGATGCCTTTAGAAATGAGAAGAACACAGCTAGCAATTCATTACTGGATCAACTTACAAGGAAATAACCCGGATCATCCAACTTTAGACATTTTAAAACCATGCTGGGAAAAAGCAAAGAGAGAAACAGGAAGCTTCGGTTGGATAATCGATCAGAAGATACAAGAAGTTCAAATAAGAAACCTAACAATAAGTCCAATAATACCGTTACCAACAATACCACCATGGATACTACCATCTGCAAAAGTAGATTTTACACTTATGGAAAAGAAAAAAGATAAAAAAATCACTTTTAACTCCTATACAGTACAGAAATATATAAATAATTATTATGGTTATGTTCAGATTTACACAGACGCATCAAAAGACACAACAGGGAAAATAGGAATAGCAATTATCATACCAGAGTTCCATAAGAAACAAGTTAAACGTATTACAAATGGATTGTCAGTATACACCGGGGAAATGTTGGCAGTGTTATTGGCGGTACAATGGATAGAAGATGTCAGACCATTAAAAACAATAGTATGTTCAGATTCAAGTTCATCACTTACAAGCTTACAGCACAGCCACTCAGACAGCAGACCAGACATTTTATTAGAAATCCAGCAAACATTATTCAGAATAATGATGATGGGTTTGGAAGTCGTATTTCTGTGGGTACCATCACACACTGGGGTTGAAGGAAATGAAGCAGCAGACAGGGAAGCAAAAAGAGCAACAAAACAACAAGTTAACTTTATAATAACTACAAGCAAATCAGAAGCAAGAAGCATGGTTAAAGAAAAACTGAAGGAAAAGTGGCAGAAAGAATGGAATGAAGAAAACAAAGGAAGATGGTATTATAAGATCCAAAGAAGAGTGGGAGAGATGAGAACAGGAGGGAGAAACAGAAGAGAAGAGAGATTAGTAACAAGACTGAGATTTGGACACACTGGACTGAACAACACATTATTCACACTACATAAACACGAAACAGGAAATTGTCAGTATTGTGGAGAGACAGAAACAATAGAGCATGTGATTTTAAGTTGTCAGAGATATGAGAGAGAAAGAAGACACATGATGGAGGAACTTAGAAAGATTAAAGAAACATTAAATATCACAAACATACTACAGAAAGAGTCAGGGAGTAAAAGTGTAAACATTTTGATAAGGTTCTTCATTAAAACAAAGCTGATCAATAGGATATGATTAGGACAGACAACACATACACAAGTAAATAGAATTTATTTATTTTATTTATTTATTTATTTTAAAAAGCATTCTGACCCACACTCCATACCAGTCGGTGGCGGTAATGCACACCATAAGTTGTTTGCCAACCGCCAATAAAACTGAAGAAGAAGAAGAAGAGGCAGACCATTATCTGAGCGCCTGGCAACACGAACCGAGTGATTCATTCCAAAGTTGAGATGGCTTAGCTTACTTTGCTCTTTCATTTAAATAAAAAAAATGTCTACGACTTGGTTACGCGTCAACCTCTTTAGTTTAGGCTAATAGTCCCGCTCATAGTATATACTACTTCAACAATGAAGTTAATAAGTAAAGATATAGAAAAAGATAATGCCGGGTAAGTGACTGACCGTGTTAGCTACTATTAGCAATCGAAGCATGCTGTTTTGTAGCTAACTAAACGTCATCTGTCACCGTAATAATGGCTGTGAATAGGTGTTTAAACGGCATTTACGCTAGCAATAATGACGGAAATATGTATATATATTTTACAAAACATAAAATATTAATTTAAATGTGTCTGTGACCTGCTTTAACAGTAGGTTAGCAAAAGTAATTGTTGCATCAACGCTATTCCAGTATTTGTATTATAGCTTATTAAGAGCGTTTCCACTTTTTAAACTTCATTTATCAATCTATGTTAATTATGGAATTAGTTTTAATGCATAAAGCTTCTTCAGTCAGGTGACTCTGATACCAGAGGAGGCAGAGGACATGTGGCACACCTACAACCTGCTCCAAGTGGGGGACAGCTTGAGAGCCTCAACCATCAGGTAAGATTCGTGAAACCGAGTAATATTATGCAACTATTTCATGAAGAATGTTGCACTTGTGACGTTATAATTCTGCAAACTCAGATGCAACACGTTTATAATCCCTTTTCTATTAAGGCTGCTGTGCAATATATCAAAAAAATTGTATCAGCGTGTGCAATATAAATACTGTTCCAAAAATGGCAGACACAGTCTTGACGTGTGTCTGTCTCAGCTGATTTCTTTAACACAATATTTTGTGTTTTAGTTTTATCAGAGTCAGAGATTCTTTATTGTCATTCGCACCTCATGTGGTACATGTGGTGGAGCGAAATTATGTACACAGGGTCCCAGTTACATCCAACAATAAAATGTATAAGAAAAACAGTAATAACATCTAAGATATGAACTAAGAAAAACATCAACTAAATATACACTAAGCACTCATAACATAAAAACATTGAACATCAGCACAAACATGAACATGAGTCTGTGTGAGCAGATGAGCACGCATGAACACATCAACATTAAAACAGATCAGCAGCAACATGAAACAGATCAGTAGCAGCATGATGTGGTTTTTCACAGTGATTATTCTAGTTAGAGATTCATGAGTCTAACAGCCTCAGGGTAGAAGCTGTTCCTCAGTCTAGTGGTTCTACACTTAATGCTCCTCAACCTCCTTCCTGAAGGGAGTGGGGCAAAAAGTGTGTGTGCTGGGTGAGTGAGGTCCTTCATGATGCAGGTGGCCCTCTTCCTGCATCTGGAGGTGCAGATGTCTGTGATGGTGGGGAGACTGACTCCGACAGACTTCTGTGCAGCCTTCACCACTCTTATGAGCATCTTTATGATGATTAATTCAGTAAATACCTGATCAGTGTTAATTATTGTACTTTAACTGTTACAAAACATTTGTATGCAGGTCAGAAACGACTACTAATATCTAACACGGTCCCTAGATAATTTAACCCTTTTTTTTTTTTTTCAATACTATCATTATCGAGGTTACATAAGTAAAGCTGTGGTAGCTCAATGGTTAATTGAATAGTTTTCATTTGATACTATTTCTATCTTAACATGTGATTCTTGACCTGCCATTGTGTATCTGTTCCTCTCAAACCCAGCCGGTCGAAGCAGATGGCCGCTTGTCCTGAGCCTGGTTCTGCTAAAGGCTTCTTCCTCATGAGGGAGTTTTTCCTTTCCACTGTCGCCTTCGTGCTTGCTCAAGATGAGAGTTCTGCGATGGAGTTAAATTCAAAGCAGTCTGCTCCTCAGAAAATTAGTGTTAAATTATTATTTTTATATATGAATGTTTCTGTTCAGTGCCCTGAGATGACTTCTGTTGTGACTTGGCGTTATATAAATAAACGGAATTGATTTAAATTGAATTGAATTGGTTAAGCGCCTTATAGTCTTGAGGCTGCTGGTTCGAGACCAGGTTGTGCCAGGAAGGCCATCCAGCATAAAACAATTGATAAATCTGTTATGTGAGTTCACTCGCTGTGGCAAGCCCTACAGAAGGGAGCAGCCACAAAAAAACCTAACAATCAAGCAAGAAGTGACGTATTTCTATAACTGATCTTCATTTGCACCACCTTTTACTGTTTGGCTAAGTTTTACTTTGTATTTTTTTAATTATAGTTATACAAAGAGGTTATTAAGCCCAATGCCACAAAGTTGTCTGAATATATCTAGCGAGGGCAAAGAAACTATAATAATCCACCTGTATTTGCAGTAAAATCATAAGATGTTAATACTGCAGAACTAAAACTGATGGTGTTGAACAAATAACAAAGAAATCCTACATAATGTCAATAATATTTCAAAGTTAAACACCACTGTCATGTCCCCATTTTCATTATTTCTTGACAAGAGATCAGTTTTCCTCCTGGTTTTCTGCAAATCTCCAGGGTAATAAGCAGTCAGGTGTTGTAGGTGGTGAGTGCAAACATCACTGTGTGTGATCGTTTTGGCAAAAACCTGCTTCGACCTGCTTTTAATCTTCGAAGCTATAAAATATGATCAAATCTATCAGTTCAGTTCATTTACTGTATTGCCAATTTTTATACATCACATATAAATGTAATGCATCCACCACTTTACATTCAATATATACAACAACAACAAAACTACTATAAAGTCAAATTTTTATGTAGCATACATGCGAAAAATCATTTTTACAGCCAGATCCTCCTTGCTCTCATGCTTCATTATCACTTTACAGACATAAATCTCAGCGATGTATCCTTAGCTTTATAGTAAACAATAAAAAAAATGTTAACCACATTTTTTTTGTTTATAGTTTCTCTCAGTGTCTGACACTCTTCTGAATATGAACGTAATTTGTTTATATGCTTAAGGCTTGATCCATAATCCAGTAATTTAACACACTTCATTGTCAAATTTAACATAAAAGTTTTATTTTTTTAAAAACGGTCTTTGTTATGAAACGGCAGTGATGGATTTTTAACATTGTCTTGTTTTCTTCAGTACACACTTAAAACTGTATATCTGACTTAACAATTTAAGCCTTTTTCTTGGTTTTACAGAAAGGTGCAGACAGAATCCACCACGGGAAGCGTGGGCAGCTCGAGAGTTCGGACCACTTTGACGTTATGTGTGGAGACCATCGACTTTGACTCCCAGGCTTGTAAGCTGAGAGTAAAAGGCACCAACATCGAGGAGAACCAGTATGTCAAGGTGTGAGATTCATATCAGCCTTATAAATGAATATTAAAGTGGGTGATGCGGGCAGAAAAGCTAATCTTTAATTTTTTCTATTAACTCTATGAATCAGTTCAGCTTTCCTCAGTCACTGGGTTTGTTGTGCATCATTAGTGGTTGTTGCTACCACTGATGGACGTTTTAGACGTTATTATGAAAGCATCTGTGCAAATTATTGGTTGACTATACTGGCATAAAACCTGCAAGCTCCATCCATCTGTCCGTCCGTCCGTCCGTCTACCCATCCACCCATCCACCCATCCATCCATCCATCCAATTTTTCCTTCCCTCACTCACTCACTCACTCACTCACTCACTCACTCACTCACTCACTC